GAGTGGGAGAGGGAGAAGCAGGCTTCCTGCTTCCCTAACCCTATACACTTTAAATGGATGAACTGACAGGGGCACCTGGGTGGCTCAGTTAGTTGAGCATCTGACTCTTGATATCGGATCAGGTCATGATCTCAGGGTCCTGAAATTGAGCCCTGCACTGAGCCCCGCATCGGGCTCCACACTAAGCACAGAGTCTGCCTGTCCTCCTCCCTCTGCTCCTCCCCCTCTGTCACTCTCTCTAAAATAAATAAATAAATAAAATCTTTAAATAAATGGATGAATTGTACATGGTGTATAATACAACACCACCACAACATGGACAAATTTCAAATTCATCATGGTAAGTGAAAGAAGCCAGGCTCTAAAGGTTACATATTATATGATTCTATTTAAACTATAGTAATAAAAAAACAGGGGCACCTGGGTGGCTCAGTCATTAAGCGTCTGCCTTCAGCTCAGGTCAGGATCCCAGGGTCCTGGGATCGAGCCCCGCATCGGGCTCCCTGCTCAGCAGGAAGCCTGCTTCTCCCTCTCCCACTCCCCCTCTGCTTGTGTTCCTGCTCTCTGCTGTCTCTCTCTGTCAAATAAATAAAATCTTAAAAAAAAAAAGAAAATACACAAAACTATAGGAATAGAAAAGTAATGTTAGCTACCATGTACTATAAAGGATAGAAAGTATTATGTAAGGGGCACATGACTTGCTCAGTCCACAGAGCAAGCGACTCTTGATCTCAGGGTTGTAGATCTGAGCCCCACGGTGGGTGTAGAGATTTAAAAACAAAATCTTTTAAAAAATGAATAAATTTTTTTTAAAAAGTGGCTGCCTCTAGGTGGTAGAACTGGGAATAATTCATAACATTCCTCTACAGTTTCTGAACATCCTATGGCAAACAGGTATTTATTTTACAATTTCTTTAAAGCTTTACTTTAAAAGTTTCAGTTTTCCAGCATGATGTGGGGACTAAATATTGTGGTTGATATTCTAATTAATTCTAATGGAGAGTTAAAATTATAAAGTATATGGATTATCAATTTTCAAAGAAACAATAAACCATGCTGAAAATGATTAAAACTTTTTATATGTGCAGAAGATATTTCATTGGCGCACACACTACAGGGTCATCAAAATGTACATAAACCACAATACAGTGAGACTCCTAAAACGAAGAAACAAGATTCTTGGCAGTCTCAACCTTCACACATAGGCATAGAGTAGAAATGTACTTAAGTCTCTGCTGAGAAAAAAGCAGTATTTAAGCACACAGCAAAGACAGCTGCAACAAGTGCAGAAAATGAGCATTTTTATCTATGTGTCCCTGATATTGTAGGATATCAGCTGTTTGAAAAAGCGGCTGTTTTTGAGAGGTAAATGGTTTGGGAGAAGCTCCTTGAGCCTCTAATTTAAAAAATAATTTTGCAAACAATCCCCAGAAGCAGCTAACATCACAAATATTTTAAGAAGTTTCACCAACTTTAAATGGATTTTTTTTTTTTTAAACAGGCTCTATGCCCAACATGGGGCTTGAACTCATGACCCTGAAATCAAGAGTCCCAAGCTCTACTGACTGAGCCAGTCAGGTGTCCCTAAATGGATTCTTAATGGCTTTTTTTTAAAGGTTCAACCAAAAGACAACCCACAGAATGGGAGAAGAATGGGAGAAAAATATATTTGCAAATGATGTACGTGATAAGGGGACTGTATCTAGAATACATAAATAACTCCACAACTCAATAATAAAAGACAAAAACCCAACTAGAAATGGGCAAAAGAATATGAATAATCAATTCTCCAAAGAAGACATACAGATAACCAAGAAGCACATGATGATGAGATGATGTTCAATTCATTAGTCAGGCAAATGCAAATAAAAGACTCCCCTCTCTATCCCCCATGCTAGGGTATGCATATTATCTGCAACGAAGCAAAATTTCTATTAAAAAAAAAGTGAGAATTAAAATATAGTACCCCTATTACTAAATAAAAGGATATAAATTCTTTAAAAATATGCCTCAATAGAGCTGATAAAATACAGATTTTCTTGGGGGCTTCTTTAAATATTAAAATAGTTCACTGAATGCAGAGGGAGATAGAGAATCTCAAGCAGACTCCCCACTGAGTGTGGAGCCCAACATAGGGCTCCATCTCAGGACCCTGAGATCATGATCTGACCCAAAACCAAGAGTCAGATACTCAACTGACTGAGCCACCCAGGCGCCCCAAGTACAAGTTTTAAAATGTTTTTATAAGTTGAACTGAATTACTTAACATGTAAAAAATGTACACAAAACAAGACTGAAAAAAATACATTTGCCCCCAACATAAAACTGTAAGTGCTCACAGGAGAAAAAAAAAATCCTAAGTTATCATAAATCTCCACTAAAATATATATAAACGCATATATTAAAGGAAAGTATCAAGCAGAAATAAGAACAGAACACATTTTTTTTTTGCACACATTCTTTACTCATAAGCTTTTACACTAATAAAATGTAGACTTCCCTGAAGCACCAAAGAACTTAACAGCAATGTTCTATTTTGCCAGTTCAGTGCCACTTCAATTCAAATGCTACAGGAAGAAAAGCCAGTAACTTAAAATTTAAATCACTAATTAAAGACATTCAAGAACAAAAAGAGATGGGGAAAGAGGTAACAAGAACAGAACTGCAGGGAGAGGAGAAGCCAGAGTGCAAGAAACAGAAGACATGAGATAAGGAATGGAAAAAGGCAAAGTGAGAAAAGTAGGGGTAACCGATCAAGAGAATGTAAACAACATCCTGCCAAGGCGCAGGCCCTTTCACAAGGGGAAGAGAAAGCCCAACACAATTGTATTGATGATCTCATTTTCTTTCTTCCCTTTCTTATATCATTAAATTCCTATTATATGAAATTACATTCTTACAAAGTTTCCTAATACATAGCAATTTAGTATCTCAGTAAGCTATCATTGTCACACATTACACTGCAACAAGAGCTGCAATCAGGAATTTCCCCAGATACAAATTAATCCAGGAAATTCTCTTACAGAAAAAGATGGCTCTGGGAATCATCAAATTTCAATTCTAAAAACAAAGTTAACACACATACAACCAGCATTCATACCAACATATATATGACAAAAATGACACATGTAATGGCTATTAGTATGTCAATACAACGCTATACTAAATTGATCAGAAAAAGCTTTATTTTCTCACAGATCTCAGAGACATTTTGGAGTCTTAGTTCTTTCAACAGTAAAATAAAAGGGTAGTAGGCTGAATAAACAGCCAACCCTAAACATACCATGAATCTGTAACACTAGAATAAAGAAAAGCAAAAATATTTATGTTCCCGGGGCGCCTGGGTGGCTCAGTTGGTT